AATGATGTGGGCTGTTGTTTATGGGAGATAACAAGCCACATTTTTCACTCCCCTAAACAGGTTTGTTTGACCCATCTGCACCTATGTGCTTGATTGCATGTGAGTGGGAAGTTCACTGGCAGGAAATATGTCAGAATGTATGCTTGCCCTGAGTGGGCCTGATGGGAAATGCCTAAGCAGCTGCAAAACAACTGGGGCCATTTTTCTGGGGAACCAGAGATGGATCTGGCCAGAGACCATCTACCTGGCCAGTTTTTTAATGGCAGGTTATTTTTATTTATTTATTTATTTATTTATTTATTTATTTATTTATTTGAGATAGGGTTTCTCTGTGGCTTATGGGGGCTTGTCCTGGAACTAGCTCTTGTAGACTGGACTGGTTTCAAACTCAGATCAGCCTGTCTCTGCCTTCTGAGCGCTGGGATTACAGGTGTGTGCCACCAACGCCTGGCTTACCTGGCCAGTATTTAAAGCTTGCTTCAAATTTGGCTTAAATTATGGTAGTTGTCTTGAGATTAACACCACTTCAGTTCCCTCTTTGATGTCTTGCTACACTTTCCTAAGCACAGATACTCAATCTATTATAATTATTAGTCTGTACCAGATAGTGATAGATACTAACTGCTGACACTCATTTTGCATCCCTGGTTGCTGATGGTGCTTGGACTAGACAGCTTTGAAAGGCTTCAATGAATAGTGCTGGGCAGTTGTTCATTGGATAGCAGAGGAGATGTTATAAATTGGGAGCTGGTGTGGTGGTGCATGCTTTGAAATTCCAGCACTCCAGAGATGGAAATCAGAATTCAAGGCTACATAAATTTCAAGCCAGCCTAAGGGTATATGAGAACCTGTGTCTCTCTATCCTAAGGGTATATGAGACTCTCTCTCTCTCTTTCTCTCTCTCTCTCTCTCTCTCTCTCTCTCTCTCTCTCTCTCTTACACACACACACACACACACACACACACACACACACAAATAAAACCCAGTGCCCTACTAGAGAACTATAGAATTTAAACATTTCAAAATAGCTGTTTTGTTTTATTTGCTTATTTCTTAAATACAGATATTTCTCCTTTCCTTGGCTACACATCGAGTATAAGAATTCTCATCTAATGTTAAAAGAACCAACTTGGGAGATTTAAGAAGACAAACATGGCAGCCAGTGGCCAGAGAAGAAAAATAAGCCCTAAGTCTGAACTGACTGAAGAACAGAAACAGGAAATCCGGGAAGCTTTTGATCTCTTTGATGCTGATGGAACCGGAACTATAGACATCAAGGAACTAAAGGTTGCAATGAGGGCTCTGGGCTTTGAACCTAAGAAAGAAGAAACCAAGAAGATGATGAGTGAAATTGATAAGGAAGGGACAGGAAAAATGAACTTCAGTGACTTTTTGACAGTGATGACTCAGAAAATGTCCGGGAAAGACACCAAAGAAGAAATTCTGAAAGCTTTCAAGCTCTTTGATGATGATGAAACTGGGAAAATATCATTCAAAAATCTAAAGTGTGTGGCCAAGGAGTTAGGCGAGAACTTGACTGATGAAGAGCTGCAGGAAATGATTGATGAAGCTGATCGAGATGGAGATGGCGAGGTCAATGAGCAAGAGTTCCTGCGCATCATGAAGAAGTCTAGTATCTATTAAGATCAGTGCTTCTTTTTCTACGTCAAGCACATGTGACTAGATTTAGTGCCTGCCATTTTGTGAAATACAGCTTTTGAGAACCCCCCTCCCCCAACCTCTGAGTTAACTAGCCGTGACCTTGAATCTTTTTTTGACTTTTGGAAGTTTCTTTGATATTAAGTTCTTTGTACATTTACCTTCTGACTAATTAAACAGTGCAGAACAAGAGCACATAGTGGGGAAAAGAGTCTGAAAGTGTGACTGCAGCCACTCCACTTTCCATTAGTTCACATTGCTTATGCATTTTCACATAGCTGCAAACACACAATGGCTTCTTAGATGTCCATGTAGCCATGTCACAATAAACACAAAAACTAGAATAAAATTGTTCTAGTTTTTAGTTGACACCAGAGTGCAGTTTTTTCCTCACATAAAACCCAATGAATGCTTGTTATGGTGTTTAGATATGTGTTAATGCCTTTGTTTTGTTTTAAAAATAAAAGTTTTCTTAATTTAAAAAAAACAAACCAACTTGGTCTCTTGTACTAGAAGCAAGGTCATATGAAACTGGACTAAAAGTAGAATTAGGTCTAGAAGCACACATTCAGAAATATCACAGCAAAGGGAAATGTTAAACATAATAGTGTCACTGTGTTCTATCAGTATAATCATCTGGATAAAAATAAGATAAATATGTGATTTCTAAAGTTACAGGCTTTAACCCTTTAACCCTTAAATGGTCATTAAACCTTATTCTGGGTGTGCCCCAATTCCTTTTATCAATTTGTATTTAACACAAAGTGTAAGTAAATCTAAACCCAGAAGTATAAGTTTTAGCTTCTGAGACAGGAGGATTGTGAGTTGCAGAACAATACCTTATCTCAGAGGGTGGTGGTGGGGTATCTTTGCCACATATCATGGTGGTACTACTCTAGAGAGGCTCAGACAGGCTGGTTACAGTAGGCCTAAAGACAGCCTGGGCTACATTTAAGTTCCAGGACAACCTAGGCTATCTTAAAAACAAAAGGTGGTGTCGAAAGCCTCTAAACCTTTAATCCCAACACTCGGCTCTAAGGCAGAGGCAGGCGGATCTCAGTGAGTTTGAGACCAGCCTGGTCTACAAGAGCTAGTTCCAGGACAGCTTCCAAAGCCACAGAGAAACCCTGTCTTGAACCTCCACCCCCACTCTCCAAAAAGCAAGCAAACAAGAAAAAAAATGAGTAATATGATTTGAAAATTTAAATGATTTGTTGTTTCTACAATTACAAGACATAAGTAGAAGTACCTTTCTTAGCCTTTTTTAAAGGTGAATTTTGAAATCAAAAGCTAAAAAAAGTAACAATCTTTTTATTATTTTTTTAAGATTTTTTATTTATTATGCATACAACATTCTGCTTCCATGTATATGTGCCCATCAGAAGAGAGTACCAGATCTCATAATGGATGGTTGTGAGCCACCATGTGGTTGCTGGGACTTGTCAGGACCTTTGGAAGAGCAGTCGGTGCTCTTACCTCCAAGCCATCTCTCCAGCCCCTTTTTATTATTTTTTAAACAATATAAATTCAAGAGGAAACTTGGAAAATCCTTTATACAATGGAGTAGTCATGGGTTTGGGGGAAATATGTAGCCTATGTAAGGAACAACTCAAAGGAAAAAAATGGATTAATTACTTTTGCTCATTTATCAGAATTATTATGTTCTCAAACTTAGACAAGGAAACTGGTTATGGCTTTTGCCTTTTGTTTTTTTTTTTTTTTTTTTTTTTTTTTTTTTTTTTTTTTTAGATTTTTATCATGTATACAAACATTCTGCTTCCATGTATATCTGCACACCAGAAGAGGGCACCAGATCTCATAACGGATGGTTGTGAGCCACCATATGGTTGCTGAGAATTGAACTCAGGACCTCTGGAAGAGCAGCCAGTGCTCTTAACCTCTGAGCCATCTCTCCAGGCCCAGCCATATGCTTTCTTGTCCCTGCAATTATCAATAAGCACCTTAGCTCTGGAATCGAAAAATCAAAAGTAATTAGCTTTGTAAGAGTCAAATACACTGAGTGCATGCACGCTGCCCAAAAAGGGCTAGAGAGGGAATCAGAACCCCTGAAACTTGAGTCTAGCAAGTGCTTTGAACTGCTGAGCCATTTCTTCAGCCCCTGCAGATAGTTTTTTTGTTTGTTTGTTTGTTTGTTTTGAGACAGGGTCTCTTTATGTAGAAGTGGCTGTCCTGGAACTCACAAAATCTATCTACTTTTGCCTTCTGGTACAGTAATTAAAGGTATATGCCATCACACCTGGCTTATAGAAGGCTTTTTTTTTTTTTTTTTTTTTTTTTTGGTTTTTTCGAGACAGGGTTTTTCTGTAGCTTTGGAGGCTGACCTGGAACTAGCTCTTGTAGACCAAGCTGGTCTCAAACTCACAGAGATCCACCTGCCTCTTTCTCCTGAAACCTGGGATTAAAGGCGTGCCCGACTAGAGAAGTTTACTTGAGTAATGGTTCACCAGGTGTTTTGTTTTTTTAGTCAGTTTTCCATCAAATGAGAAAAATTAAGTCAGTTGGGAGCCCTTTTTTTTTTCTTCAGTTTAATTTTACTCAACATTTTAAACACTGTTTTGTTCTGACATTATGTCATTCTTATGTGGGAAAGTTAAAAAGTGAAGTTCTTTTGTGAAACTGTGGAAAAGAGGTACACACTAGAGCAAAATTTCCCCTAAACCAATTGAGACTGAGGGTGGGGGTACACATCCTACCACTGGAGAGGTTGAAGCAGGAAGACCAACACTTCAAGGATATTCTCAGCTTCATACTGGGTTTGAAACCAGGCTGAGCCACAAAGACTCTGTTTCAAAATAAAACAAACAAACAAACAAAAAACGGGGTATGGTCATGTATGCCATTAATCCCAGCATTTAGGAGGCAGAGGCATGTATATTTCTCTGTGAATTCAAAGTCAGCCTGGTTTACAAGCCAGCCAGGGCCACCTCATGAGACAAAACAAAACAACAAGAAAATTGATGTAAATAATTATAATTTTCTTCTAGAACACTACCGTCCAAATATTTTTATTCCTTAACCAAAAAATTATAAGTCATATTGATAATAACATAAGAATGACACTAGCTGGGCACAGTGGTGGCCCATGACTTTAATTCCTGCACTGGGGAGGCAGAGGTAGGCAGATCTCTTGAGTTTGAGGCCAGCCTGGTCTACATAGTGAGTTCCAGGAAGGCCAGAGCTACACAGAGAAACTATTTGGAAAAAAAAAAGAACAAAGAATGACATTAATATGAAAATATTATCCAAGTGTGGTACAGCTACCTGCAATGCTAACACTTGGGGAGCTATGCAGGAAGATCTGGCATTCAAGGCTAGCCTAAGCTACAAAGCTACCCAGGGCTACAAAACAAGTTTCTGTAAAGAACAAAAATAATAATGTAGCCAGGCAGTGGTGGCACACGCCTTTAATAGTACTCGGGAGGCAGAGGCAGACGGATCTATGAGTTCAAGGCCAGCCTGGTCTACAAGAGCAAGTTCCAGGACAGCCTCCAAAGCCACAGAGAAACCCTGTCTCAAACTCTCCCCCCAAATAATAATAATGTAAGTAACAGTGTGAGGGAAAGAACACAAAACCTCAGCTTTGTGCTTAAAGAAAGGACTGTGTGAATGCACAGAACTGTTAACACCTTAAGGTAGTCACTGTGAGATTGTAGCTCAGAGAGCCAATTAACTTGATAAGAGGGTGGGGCAAACACGTTTACATTTATCTGTTCCTCTCCTCTGTGTGTGTGTGTGTGTGTACCGTGTGTGTACCTGAGCTCCTGCTGTGGGCCCCAGACTCGAGTGTTGAATCTTCTGGAGCCACAGTTACAAGCAATTGTGAGTCAACCGAAGCAGGTGCAGGTACTGAAGGAGCAAGTACTGAACTTGGGTTCTCTAGAAGAGCAGGGAGTGAGTGCTCTTAACTGCGGAGCCAGATTTCTGAAGATCCAATGTATATATTGGTATATAATGTAATATAATAATAAAGTGTTCATATATTTATAATATAACATTCTATATACTGTAGTGAGAAATCCATGTGTGTCTGTTTAAGGGGTAACAAGGATTTATTAAGATGAAAAAGGAAAATATACACTCACAAATACAGGATATGGTAAATCCAGTTGCGGAGTTCTTGGAAAGCTGGGGAGTGATCACCCCTGCTTTATGCCACCTGACCTGGTCTTCACCACCCAAGAGAGTATGAGCCCCTCTCCCTTTCCTCTTAAGAGGTCTCATGGGCAGGCAAGAGGCACTGCCTCTATCAGGCCAGATAGCCCAAGGTCATGGGCAGAGCAAATACCCACTACAATATACTATATATTTTATTTATTATATATTATTTTATCATATAATACATTTATTATAAATATATTTAAAATTTTTAAATATTAATACTATATATCTATTAAATATATTTATAAATATTTTGTTGTATGTTAATAGGGTAATATAATATATATGTTGTGTATATGCGTGCGCGCGCGCGCGCACACACCCACACAAACACACACACACACACACACATACACTTTTCTTTTTCTTTAGAGACAGGCTCTCTCTGAATAGTCCTGGATGTCTGAAACTCACCATATAATCCAGGCTGTCCTCAAATTCAGAGATCCTCCTGCCTCTGCCTCCAGAGTACTGGGATTAAAGGCTTGTACCCTCACAGTCAGCTCTAATATATTTTTAATGGAGCTCATCTTAGATCCTAACAAAAATCAGCTGTATTTATAATAAAGTATTATAAATACTTTTGCTATGGCCTATCTGGTCTACATGATCTGTAACCCATCTAACTCTCTAAGCCCCTTGTTCACTGTGATTTTTTTCTCTTACCATTTTGGCCCTTCCAACACTGCAAGTATATTCCTGCTTCAAAAGTCATGAATTTGCTGTTGCCTGGCCTGGGAAGCTTCCCCACATCATCATTTATCTGGCCTGTTCTCATCATTTAGGATTCAGCTCAGCTGCCACTGGCTCGATGTTTACAACAACCACTCTCCACAGCATTATTTATTTATTGTCTTCAATGAATGTTTCGCTACCCAAAACTAATGTATTTATGAATTTGTTTATTGCTCATCTTCATGAACTATAGCAAGAAGCTCAGCTTTCTGTGTGGTTCATCACTATATCATTAAAGATCATTTACACCAGTGACTTTCATATATAGTAAATAATAAATATTAGCAGAGTGAATTAAATTGTTTTACTGAATCTAAGGCTGTATTGATTGTGAGAATTATTTATGGATGATCAATAAGTATGTTGCCAGTTTTTACCCAGTGGTGGTGGTGGCAGCACATGCCTTTAGTTCCAGCACTCAGGAGGCAGAGGCATGTGGATCTCTGTTAGTTCGA